ATTTAGCTGACATGGTACTGACCAGGACTGGTCAGCAGAGATAAGGAAGAGCTATGTTCCAGCTACTCCATCCTATTACACTCACCTCTAAGCAGGCAACTAATTAATGTAGTTATCCTCATAACACCCTTGGGAGGAAGGGAAAATGCTACTCTTAGTCATTTTGTTTTTTTTTTTCAGATGAAGAACTCAAGAAACAGTAAAATTATAGTACTTCCTCCGGGTCACATAGTAAATCTCTGACAGGGCACAGAATGAACTTTTTGTTTCAAGCTGGCACCCTCGCCCCTAAACCAGTTCTTTGCCTAAAATTCAGACATCTATCACTGACCCGATGCTGATCACGACCTATTCTGGTAGTCGGCTCTTTTTAAACTGCTGGTTTAAACACCGTTCAGTTTTGTATTGAACTTGCCCCAGAGAGTACGAACGTCATGCCAGTGCTCAATGAACACAAGGTTTTCCACCCAGAGCATGAAAGTGAATTTCAGGCATATTTTACCATGTAGCTTGCTTGGAAAGCCCTGGAATTGCCTCATGGCACCCTTTCTAATTCATGTCATAACTTAGGTCTGCATTATTAACCGTAACACTTTATATTTACAGAGCATCCTCCAGCCAAGGATCTTAGTATGCTTCCTATCTATTATTAAAACCTTTCAACATTTCTGCAAAGTGAATTTGACATTGTTTAGGAGATGGAAAAACTGGAATATGGAGAGGAAAAAGGTCAAAATTTTTATAGGAAGTTATTTGAATATTTTTGTGTTCTTTTCCTTGGGAAAAAGAATTCATTGGTATGTACGTTTAAAAGTTCTCAGACTTGGCAAGAGAAATAAAGTTGTTCAGACAGCCATGACCATCACAGATGTGCCTAGAGTTGATAGTGCCTGATACAGTCTACAGCAGTTCTGAAAACAGCAATGAGAATATTACATATTTCTTGTTTTATTAACATAGGCTGCACATGAAATGATCTGTGGCACATGCTTATTCTTACTGTAAAGAAAATCATACATATTTGATTTTCCCAATAGCCAACAAAGCCTTGTCAAGGGTGACTTGTGCTAGTTCTCTGTTCTAGCTATGAAGTACGTTTGCTGTGTTTCATTAGCCTTTAGTGCCTCCTCACTCTGGTCAAGAATAATCTGCAATTGGCTGAATGGCCGCAGAGAACTGTACCCGAGTAACTTGGAAGAGCTTTGTGTCTTCAGGACAATATTGCTTTCAGGCAAACTGCATCAGCTGGAGTCATTGGCTGACTCCCTCGGGATATTTCAGCAGGGGTCAGCAGCTCATCCAGGGAACACCAATCAGTGTCCCAGGTACAGGTTGGAGGTTTGGTTGTTTCAGGTTGTAAGAAAACTGGATTTTTTCCTACTTTGACTCGTTTGTGATGCAGACTGCAATAAAGGATGGTTATTTTGCATGCACTTAAAGCTTTTTCAAGAAAAGAAAGAATATTAACATTCTTGATTTACAAGCAAAACCAAATAGACATTTAATAAGCTTTATGTCATCTAAAATACAAACAAATCTTGGGATATTCTCTAATAAGCACTCGAGTTAACAAAAATAAAATCTGGCTTCAACTTTACTGTAAACCTACTGAGCTGCCAAACAGACCAAACATTGCGGGTGAGTCGTAGCATTGCAATTACATGCTGCGTTTATGCCACCTACAGGCATTAACACAAGCCTTGCAAGGGGTTTGCCTGCCACGCTTTCCTGGGACTTCTTTTATGGGCTGCTGTGGGAACACTCCACAGCAGTCAGCCCTGACTGTCGACCCATAAAAACATCCTGTTCAGCTTACTGAAAATTAACACAAGTATTTAATTAATATGATCCACTAGCTGAACTTGCCTCTTCCCTATCCCTTAGGTACGGTGACTCTGAAGCAAGGAGGGTACTGAAATCAGCTTTGTCAAGTGCCTTTTGCAATGGGTGGCAAGTGTTACAGCAAACCCAGAAATAGCCTCCAGAGAAACCCAGCAACTTTGGGGGTGACATATAGACAGACCTCCCAACAGCACGTATTCCCGTGTCCAAAATAAGCAATGCAATTGTTTGGGGGGAGTTAGTTTGAGGAGCCTCTTTTTATGCAAAAAAAAAAAACCAAAAACATCTCATAGATGCTTTTATGAAGGAAAGCGATGGGGATGGAAGTTTTCAGTAGGAAGTCAGCATCTCCAGTAGGACTGTACAGTCTCACATTGTCTTGGGGAAGAGGCTGTTCTCTAAGCCAGGGCGAGGTGTCACCTGGAGGACCACTGTCCAGATTCCTACACAGCCAGGCTCTCCCACAGCTCTCCTGAGAATCCACTCCACTGACTCTGTTCAAATCCCCAGGCTGGAGACGATCACAGGCCACGGCCTTTCAGCTGCCATCTCGAGCCTCCTTGGAGCTTAATTTCCTGAGAATTAAGTCAGAACACACACTAGATAATTAAAAGAAGTTCTCTCATCCTTCTTTCCTCACCCCAAGGGACACTTTAGAGTATATACTATTTACCAGCCGCAAAACAGTCTGTTGCTCAATAGAGACACTTGCTTCCACTTTAAATAACTCGGCAGGTGTCACTGCCTTTTTGCTGTGATCGCTGGCATTTTCCTGCAGTCAGCCCGCTACAGACAGTGCCAGGGGATCCATTTTTGCATTCAAGCCTCTTGGGCTGCCCGCAAGCCCTCGGTACAGAAGGAGCTTGGCCAAGTCAACGTCATACTGCACCAACAGCTGGTCTGACGGTGGCTGGTGTGGTTTTTGGATGGCTGAGATGTGCCACAGACGGGGAGAGAAGGGGCAGCTCCAATGTTGTGCCACTGGTTTGTCAGTTGGGAAATAATATTAAGAGGTTTCAGCACAGTACCTGGCTAAATCAGAGGTGAGTTTGTTGCAGGGGGAGCATGGTGGGCTGGTCTGTTTGATGTAGGTACCTGGAGATGTTCAGGACTCCAGTCAAACTGGGGCTGGATTTCTCTCCTCCTTCTGACTAGGAGGGATAGCACTCCTGGGGGTATGGAAGAGTAAATTCTTTTGCATCCTGTAACTAGATCGCTGCTCGGACCAGTGCTTGCCCCCCTTAACCCCACTTTTAATGAATAACAAGCATATTAAGGTCTTCACTTACTTGTGGAACTTACTCACCTCACTTACTTATGGCACTTACTCACTTCACTTACTTATGGCTGTTCAGAACAAGCAGGGCAGCCTCTTCCACTTCTATTTAGAAGTGGGTCGTTCACCCCATCCCTCAGCTCACTCGAGCTCAGTGCAACCTCAGAGCTTCCCATTAGCTAAGGATGCTACCCGAAAAGATAGGAAGGGCACAGACAGACAGGTCTTTTCACTCCTCAACGAACACTTCTAGCCTGCTTCTGTGCAGGTTTGCTTACACCTGGAAACAGCATTAACTGCTTTAGTGAAGATAAGCAGAACTTCTGTATGTCCATCCTGATGTGTCCATGGCATAACAACAACTGGAAAATAACCATGGATGTGAGTAGTTGTGTAGATGTTAGCAGTGAGGTCACAAGAACTTTTTGAGGCACAGATGGCACATACTAGTCTATAGTCATAAACGGTGCAACCAATATCAGGATTTGGGGAAAGCACAGGAAAACTGTTCTTGGAAAGTTTTTGTACTAGGGGCTTCTGTTCTCCTTTATCCTCCTATCTTCAGTGCCTCTTCTCAGACTCCTTCCATCTTTACCTTTGACAAAAGCATCACTTGTATCATCACTTTCTTCTACAATACTTTTGTCCAATCCCCACAGGTCTCTCCTGCTCATCTCCACCCTTCTTGTCTTTTCATTCCTCTGTTTAAAGAGGAAGCAGAAAGGAGCTACAATTTGGACACACCTCAAAGGTACTGTTTTCAGCTGTACAAATTTCACCTTTATCAACACTTCGATCATCTCCCGAGCACGGACCACCAGCAACCCGAGCTCCAGCCTTTGTTCAGACTTCAGCAAGCTCAGTTACTGAAAGGAAGATTGTTCTGTGACTTAAGAAGCCTGGGATCAGTTTTGGGACACAAAATCCCTTTGTGACTCCGGGCCACTCCTTTCACCTCTACGTATCTTAATTCTTTCCTTTAACCCTTCAGCATATCATATATAAAGCAAGGATAAGGACAACCTTTACTTCGGAACAGTGCAGTGAGATGGCACTGCATGGCATTTAGACTCCCTATGGAAATGAGAGGCAAATGAGCACCCAACCCTACAGAACCACTGTTATCTTTACAGTGCGAGGACTCAAAGCCGCACATATGAGGTGACCTGATCCCCATTAAGGCACACGGAGAACTCTGTCGTGCCCGTGACGAGGCCATGTAAAGTCTGAGGAGCCTTCAGCACGGCAACGGCTCTGGCTAGGAAAAACCAAGTTGTGTGTGAACGATGTTAAATTGCCCCAGGACTGATTAGAAATAATTTTATTTTATTTTTCCTGTGGCAATGGCAAGATGGATTTCTCCAACAGAGATACAACATTAATGAGACACCGAGCTTTGCTTTCAGCCGGTGGTCACGCCTGGTTAGATTATGCCAAATCAGTGCTTCAGCTTGACTGCTTCGGTAATAACTACAGCACTTGGGTAAAAAAATATTTGCACCACCTCCGCATGCTTCATTGCCCGCAATTAAACCATGTGAGAGGCCACCGACATAAAACACACACGCCCCAGCACACGCACGAAATAGCTTTGTTCGCCTTTCTCCATTTTAATCTCTGTTTTCCTCATGGTTGGGTCCTGTGCGGTAAAACGACCCGGCGGCACCGCGCTCCGCCGGACGAACCCCCTCCCCTCAGCGTGCCCCACCGCCCGCGCCTCGCGCACGGACTCTGCCCCGTTGCCATGCGTGCTGACGCCCCTCTCTCGATTTTTCTCATTGGCTGCTCGGCCGACGGCCTCTCCGTGATTGGCTTACGAGGGAGCGCTGAGGCTTTGAGAAGAGGGGCGCGGTGCATTGTGGGGCGGTGGAGGTGTTCCTTGATGGCGGCCATTGGTGTGCACCTGGGCGCTACCTGTGCCTGCGCCGCCGTCTAGTGAGGGGCGGAGAGGCTGCCGGCCCCGCGGTGTCCAGGGCGGGCCGGCGGCCGCTCGGGGTCCTTGCGGGGAGGAGGGGGTGGGCCGCGGTCTCTCCGTTTCCTCACGCAGCGCGTAGGGCCGCGGGGTGCCCTGAGGGGCGGCTCACGGTGGGGCCTCTGTCCGCAGGATGGCCGCGCCGACGTGGTCGCCAACGACGCCGGGGACAGGGTCACTCCTGCCGTCGTTGCTTTCTCGGAGAGCGAGGAGGTGAGGCTTCCCTTCCGAGGTGGGGGTCTGGAGGGGAGGGGAGCTCTGCCTGTTGCTCACTTTTTTTTTTGTTTTTAATTTTATATTCAGGTTGTTGGCTTAGCGGCAAAGCAAAGTAGAATAAGAAATATTTCAAACACTGTAGTGAAAGTAAAGCAGATCCTTGGGCGAAGGTAAGAGGGCAGGTGGGAAAGGGAAGGTGGGAAGTTCAGTTTTCCCCATTAAAGCTGGTCAATGAAACGTAGCCTCAGCACTGATATTGAAGGCGTTTTAATCTAGCGTGGTGGTAGTTGAGTTTACTTGGCGTTGACAGGAGGGTATGGCAGATCTTATAAAGTCATTACTCTGTGAACTTCTTGTCCTGTGTTTCATTCCAGAAGTGAAGAGATGCATAACATTTTATTGCTGAATTTGTCTGTGAAAATCGATTTGTGAAATTTGGTAACAAGTTGCATATATGCTTTTGATATAAACTTAAGTTGCTTAACTAAAGCGTCTTCTTGTTACCTGGATGTTTTCCTATGGCTGAAATCCACTGTGGTTTTACTTGCATGGAACTTCATGTGGCTTTTGTTATAATAGTGAAACACGTTGATGTAATGCCTGTCGTGATACAGTTAGTGGAGCTGTGATGATTTGCACTGGCAGTTTGAGTGATACTGGAACTAAAATGGTTGGTTTGAGTCTAACATCAGAGATGCGACAAAACTGTTCAGTGATAACCTAGCAGTGTGTTTCAGCCCTTTCATTGAAGGGAGTTGGCAAGATGATGTCTGTTCTGATGTATTTCTCAGCACTTTTCGGATGCATCCCTTTACATACTTAGTAGAGGATTAAGGATAGTCAGCTTATTGCTGTCACATTATTTCAGTCAAGCAATGAAAGTGCCACTAAAATCTTCTATAATGATTATTTGGAATAGCAGGTTAAACCAATGTGTTGAGTTTTGTTTTCCCTTTTCACTGAGCAATGAGTGTTTTTTCTATCATTATTTTGGGGAAAGGGGATTGAAAGCTACCAGCAGGCAGAACTGTTTTTTCTTCTCTTGTGGAAATGTATGTGTAGAGTGGAAACAGGAATTTTGGTTGAAGTATAGCTTCATGTGCTGTAGATGTTATAAGGAATATCAGCAAGATGAATTTGTGCAGTTACCCTTGAACATATGATTTAGTTTGTTATTCTGAATTTGTCTGAACAGCGCTGATGACCCACAGGCAGAGAAATACATTGCAGAAAGCAAATGTTCAGTGAGTATGATCTAGGCATTTTTGTTGTTCTCTGAATAACTTGTGTCGTTTTTGCGCTGTTCTTCTTGGCATGGTTTGTGCCACACCATGTTTGTGTTCTGTAGTGATCAGCTCTTGTTATATGAGGCCCATTTGCTGCTGCGTGGAATGTTTCTCTTTTTATAAAGTAGAGAACTTAACCGTGATCTGGGATCTGCCATCATAATATAGTCCAACAGAAAAAAAATCATATATATCTCTTGGCCATTCTCAAAAGGGGTAATTCCAAATATATTTGGCTAATAGTGTTGTGGTGTTTCTTAGCACTAGTAGAAGATGCCCAGGTTACAGGATCTTTGATAAAAATGCTTAACCACCTGATATAATCTCAGTATTTAATTTGAATAATATTGTGCTTGTTACTAGAAACCTTTTTGCAAAACAAGAGAAAAATTATCCTGGAAAGTATATTCCTAAAGAAGGAATGAATTTTTCTCTGTTTTTTTAATAATTGACATAATTATATAAATAATAATTAACACAATGATATAAATAGTTGTTATTTTCTCTTATGGAATACAAGCAGACAAGTACTTTTGTTCTAAATGTTGCTTTTGTTCCAAGGAAAACTTCCTATTAGAGAAAGAAAGTCTGGAGTCTTTAAGTCCCTGTGAATGTCACCATCATGTCTGGATAATACAAGGGGTTTTTATGATCTCTGATAAGCATCTTGGAAGCATTTATTCTCTTGGGATAGAGTACTAATGCAGAAAGTATTTACACAGTCCAATGGTTTTCACTTTGGACAGAAAGTAAATTAAACATTGCTTCTTGTTAATAACCAAATTATGCATCTAACAGAAGTATTTTGGCTTTGCTTACAGATAATTGAGAGGAATGGAAAACTTCAATATGAAATAGATAATAAACTTATTAACCCAGAAGATGTGGCAAAACTGATTTTCAGTAAAATGAAAGGTATGCAGTCAGTAAAATCATGACATGTTTTAGCTTTTTAAGATGTAGTATGTTGGTTTTTTGCTTTTAATCAACGTGTTCTGCCTGTGTTTATAAACAGAAACTGCTCAGTCTGCATTGGGTTCGGATGTAAATGATGTTGTTATCACTGTACCGTTTGATTTCGGAGAGAATCAGAAAAATGCCCTTGGGTAAGAGGATTAAGACTTTTCTGTTATTTAACATGCCTAAAGCAGATCAGCTGGTAGATCAGCAGTGGGAATTCTCCTGCTGGACTTCAGCTTGTGACTATCAGCCAAGACATTGGGATGCTACTTGAATTAGGAAAATGTGAAAGTAGGAGATGAAAATCCGGACTTAACTTTTCTTGGGATTCACTGCCATAACCAAAATGAAATTCTGAATTGACCGAAGTGAGAGGGGATTTTGGTATTACCAAGGGTAGAATGTTATTTCAGTTGTGTTATTTCTAGTGGATCTTTAGTGTCCGCTTTGAAATGCAAATGGTTTCTCAGCCCTCTTCCAGAATTTCCCATCCCTTCATACAACAACACTTACCAAACGAAATGGCGTTACCTGACTTTATGAGGACCGTTTTATCGGAAAGCAGATATGGAATACACATCAGTATTCGTATAGCTGTAGAAGTTCTTCCATGTGAGAACATAAATGGACCTAAAGCTGTGCATAACTGGCAGCAGCTATTTCTGCTTTCTGGTACGTAGAACTCCCCCTGTGTTGAAGTTGGTCACAAAACATTAGCGAGCTGCATATTTGTAGTCTGTGTAATGAAACACCCAATTGCTTTGGCATACAAGTTTCAAAATAACTTTGAAGTGGCGGAAACAACTTGCAGGGCAGTCCCCAGGTTCCTGAAGTTTCAGGAAAACGTGTAAAGAAACGGTTGGAAGTAAGGTGCGGTGACTTGATTTGGAAGTAAAAGCAGTTCTGCTAGCATGATATCTGCTGAAATAATGTACTGAGAACTTCTAGTGCCACACCTAAAAATAAGTTACCAAGTTTGATTGAGGGTGGGGTTTTTCATCATATAGTTGAAGGGGTGTTTTACTGGTTTTTATGGGGTATGTAGACTGACACATCAGTGTTTTCTTTGACGGTGAGCACACAGCAGGTCCAACTACGCGAAGGACACAGTAGCAACGGAACTTCTTGGTGCCTTCCTTTTCCAGTCACTTTGATTTGTTAATACCGTGCTGTAAACAAGTTCTGAGTTGGTGGCATATGTAGTTAGATGAAATCTTAATAGCATGCATGAAATCGTTAAAATGAAATGCTGTTTTGCGTTATCGCAGGGAAGCAGCTGCAGCTGCTGGATTTAATGTTATGAGATTGATTCATGAACCGTCTGCAGCTCTCCTGGCTTATGGAATTGGCCAAGATTCACCCACTGGGAAAAGGTAAAATCCTAGTATTTTACTTCTTAAATGTAAGCTGTTGTACTTAAATCCTGAGAAAACTTTAATGAGGGAACGCTGTGTTGCCTTAAGAATCAGTACAAAATTAATGGTTCGAGGCTTGTTTTCCTTTTTTCTCTCAATAAAGACAATAACAATTTAGAAGTTGTAAATCCCTTTGTTCTGGTTTTTCTTTTTTTTCCAGAAGGTCTTTAAAGATTTGTCACCAGATTCTGTTTTGCTCTTTAATGAGCTGATTGACTTGAAGAAAAATGCATCCCTTAAACAGATTTTCCCATGGCTGTTTTGAATTGTGGGAGAGGGGGTCATTTTACATGTGGTTGAAGAACTAAAGCCAAGTTCCTGGGTTCAGTGGGTGCATTGGGCTTCCCTTAGGAATATTCAGATAATTCTCAAGATTTGCAAAATAGCAGAGACTGCTGTCAGTGCAAACAGATGTGTTTTTTCTTCTTGGTTGGTGTTTTTTTACCCTTCTCACATGATTCTTGCCCCTAATTTTGAATGTAATGTTCAATTCTCAGTTATGCTGTAGGAAAAACATTGGCTACTCTGGCTGTGTGAAGCAGGCTGATATTGTTCTTTAGAGAACACTGCCATGTGGTCAGTGGTACTAAGATGCTTTAAATACAAACACCTTAAATCAAACTCTCTTGACAAAACTGATTAAAAGTGTCTCAAAGTTAACATGATTTTGGATAGTTTATTAATGCTACTTCCAATTTTATTTTTTTTACCATGGCAGCAATGTATTGGTTTATAAACTTGGTGGAACATCGCTTTCTATCACAGTGATAGAAGTAAACAGTGGAATATATCGTGTGCTGGCTACAAACACAGATGATAGCATTGGTGGAGTTTGCTTCACAGAAGCTCTAGCACAACACTTAGCTTCTGAATTTCAGAGGTAGGTTTTGAATTCCAAGCCGGTTGCTGTTAGGACAGGAACTTTGTTATCTGATGCTTGCTTTTTTAAAAAAAAAAATCCAGCAGGCTATCTGCGAGTGAAATGGCTCCAATAAAGATATTAAAGGAACAGTCAGTTGTTGAGGGCCAAGGAGAAAGACTGTCAGATTCTTGGTTTTGGGTAGATATTGCCTGAAGTCCATGTTGTGCTGTGTTTTGAGTGATGTATGTGACTACAGGCCACTTACATCCTCTCAGTCACAGACTTTTGGGGTGGCAAGGAATTCACCTGTGCTGGTTTTGTTTGTTTTTCTGGTGGGCATGAAGGACCGTGGAGGAGCTTAGGTCGTCAGACTGAAGTCAGTACGGCACGTCCTCCTGTGGTGAACGAAAATGGACACATGCGTTATCGTTAGCTCTAGTGATCTGGAGCTCATCCGGACGTTCTGAATGAAACATACTGTTTTGTTGGCATGTCTAATGTTCAGATTTCTACTTCTTCTTAATCTGTGGTTAAAATTAGTTAACTTGCAGGCCTCTTCCTGCTTTTCCTTGCAGTCCCTTACAGGACTTTTTCAGCTGAGTAACTGTTCAAAAAGACTTAAATCTGTATGATAAATACGAATGCCTGAGTTCAGGGTGCCTCTACACAGTGTTCTTTAGTTGAAATTGAAATAGACATTTTGATTCTTTGCGAGCTTTCAATAGTGGCATTGTAGATAATACAAAAATGTCTACAGAAAAAAAAGTTCAATGGCTTTAACCTGTTTTTCCTTTCAGAGAGTTGGCATTATCATTCAAATACCTGCCTTTCTAAACTGATACATCTTCTTTTTAAATGTAGGTCTTGTAAACATGATATTAGAGGAAATCCTAGAGCCATGATGAAGTTAATGAACAGCGCAGATATTGCAAAGCACTCTTTATCAACCCTGGGAAGTGCAAATTGCTTTGTGGATTCGTTGTATGATGGATTGGATTTTGATTGTAATGTGTCCAGGTATAGCAAATCTTCAAGCTACTGCTTTTATACAAAACTATGCTTGAAATCTTTCTAGGTGGTATTTAGGATGTTCAATAAGCTTTGATTTTTAATTTTTATTTGGTGGTGTTAATTTTGGAAACAGAAGTAAGATGGAAGAGCAGCTTTCAGCTTTGTTTCGTATTGATGGTTCTGTTGTGATGCGATCTGTAGTAGTCGGGGTAGTAACCCCAACCATGTTGCCCTAACAGTTGGAAAATAAAGTGCAAAAAGGCACAAGGAGACCCCATCTTTGGAGTCTGGTTGTTGATGAAAGGGTAATAGATACTGTAATTATTCAAGGTGGTTCCCCCCACCCCTTATTGTTTTTTTTTGTTGTTGGATTTTCCTTAAAGAGAAGACTTTTGGACTCTTTGATCTAAATGAGCTCCAGAATGATAGGAGTCATGGAAGTTTTGATATTGCCTCCTTTGACAGCTGGAGTAAAAGATATTTTCTGCCTTTTGTTCATACTGCTGTGTCCTTCTGTTAAGTTGTTTCTCTCTTGGGATGATCTGTTATTGAGGTGCTTCACTAATTTTGATTGCACCTTCCTGTCAGCAGCAGCTTTAGCAAAATGAAACAGACTTTTCCATTCCAGAACTGTGCATCCACTGCTGCAACAGTTGGATCTGGGAACATAAGGCACAGGATGTTTGCAAGTGTGAGAAGCAACGCTGCGTAACTTGTTTGGCTCAGTTTTGGTTAAGGATGCCAATCCTGTGGACTAAAGTTGCAGAATTCAACTTGCTGTGTTTGTACAGAGTAAAACTTCTTCAGGCTTGACAGAGCCCAAAGGAAGCACAAGTTTTTTTTCAGTTTGCTTAAGGACCTTCTCCTTTGCCTCTGAAAATTGAAGAGGCACCACGTTTGAGTGTTTATGTCTCCATTTTTAAAGATGATGAAGCAGTTCCAAGATTTTTGCTTGTTTTTTTTCCTGTATGAGTCAAGACAATACTGTTTTGTCTCTGGAGTACACTGAAGAGGAGTTGAACGTCCATTCCATGTAGGTGTTAATAATGGAATCGACACCACAGATATTTTCACAACAATAGAAAAAAAATCACTTATTTGGGATTAATAATTGGGAAATAAAACTGACTTTATTAAAAAAAAAATCACTTAGTACTAAGTATAGCTAGAGAATCAAAGTATATTCTGGACATGATTGTTCGTCCGTTTCAGTTACTTGTCTCTAAGGGATGAGATGACAATTGTTGAATTTAAATTTTTTTTTTTTCTTCTAGGGCCAGATTTGAGCTTATCTGTTCTTCACTTTTTGGTAAATGTGTAGAAGCAATTAAGAAGCTCTTGCAGCAAGTTAGATTTACAGCAGATGATATTAATAAGGTAATAATAGAAATTGCTTGTCTCTAGTATGCTTTATAACTCCATAAGAAGAATACGTATGGAGCCTGTTTCCTTGCAGACCGAGATTATTTCATGGTGTATTTAAGCCTTTTGGCTCAAATCTAACAAAGTGTGCAGACTCAAGCTCTTTAGAACTCCTGTCTATGAGAGTCAGAGCCTGTGATGTGTTTGTGTAACTCTGGTAAAGCAGAGGAGTACCTTCTTCCAGTGTAGTACATAGACTTTCCTCTGCCCTCGCTGAGCTTCGGGTGGCGTTCCCTGACACTTCTGGAGAATGCCCGAGTTTCGACTTCTTTTGTCTCGGGAGTTGAACAAGTTGCTTAGAACACGGGCACCAAGTAGACGCGTCCTTGTTAGCTTAAAAAACTTAGCAACACATTAGATGCCAAACCACAGAATACTTTAATACCGCAGATGGTGAGCAAAGTAGGAAACATTACTGGTTTCATTCGAATGTCTTTTGCTTTGATATGAGAGAGTAACTTCATCTCAACCCCTGCGTGTGGCAAGTAGTGCTGCGTTTATTGCTGGTGGGATTGGCCTACAAACTGCAGCAAAAGTTACCTGGTGCTTTTAATGACACTCAGTGCTACTTCAAACTCGTTGTTAGTGCTTGCTGGGTCACATCTGAGTTCCGCTGGTAGGATGGTGAAGTATCCCAGACCAGTGTTTGGAGAACATCTTTGTTTTCTGGTAGGAGTGTGTAAGTGACCTGATGTGCTCTCCTCTCTTTCATACTTCTCTGGTTTGGGGGCGGGGGAGGCAGGCACTTCAAATGTAAAAATTAGTGAAGCTAATTTACAACTTTTAAGTTATATTTTATATGAAGAAAAGTGGGAATTAGCTTTGTTTCCAGGTCTGGTTGATCTCAGTAAAGTTACTGTAATAAGAGAAGGGCTTTAAGGGTTTTTTGTTGCACAAGATTGAGTGGCATGAATTGGAGTAACTGGCAGCTGGTTGTCAGTGACATCCCTCAGGATTTGATACTGGGGCTGATAGTGTTTAATGTCTCCATTAATAACACAGATGATGGGATAGCATGTGCTCTCAGCAAGTTTGCAGACAGTACCAAAACAAGGGGAGCAATCAATAGCACTGTGGGTCAAGGCTGCCATTCCGAGGGGCTGAAAAAGGCGAGTGTGTAATAGAATAGAATATTTCAGCTGGAAGGGATGTGCAGTGATCATCTAGTCCCATAGAGGAGGGCATGGCGAGGATCAACAAAGGCAAATGCAGAGCCTGGGATGGGATAATCCTGTGCAGCAGGACAGGCTAGGGGTTGTTAGAAAGCAACTTTGCAGAAAAAGACGAGGGGATTCTGAAAGACAGTGCTTTTGACAGCAGCCAGCAGGGTGCCTCTGCAGCAGAGAAGGGCAGTTGGATGCTGGGCTGTAGTAACAAGGGTGTAGCCATGAGTGCAGGAAAGGGTTTGTTTCCCTCTTTGGCACTTAGACAGTGTCCAGACAAAATCTCATCGGTTTTGGGCTTCACAGGAGACGAAAGGTGCTGACCTACTGGAGCCAGTCTGGGTTTGCTCACCTGTGAGAAGAGAAGGCTCAGGGGAGACTAGTGCTGCCTGCAGTTACCCAACAGGAAGGCATCCAGGAGACAAAACCCGACTTACTCCTTCCTGTGGGTGTGGGATGGGGGAGTGAGTGGCAAGGAGCACAAGTTCCAATACGGGGGCATTTTAGACAGCAAGAAAAGAATTTGTGGTGTGAGGGTGATCAGACACTGGAACAAGGACCCACAGAGCCTGTGGAATCTGTATCCATGGACATAAGGTCCTGAGCAGCCTGTTGTAACTGGACCTGTTCTGGGCTGGAGGTTGGACCAGATCAGCTCTGGAGGTCCCTTCCAACCTGACGTTATTTTGTGATTAATTCCTCAGTTTTTAAATTGTGACTTCATCTAGCTGATGCTTTCCATAAGAAACACTTTTTCAAAATGTGATTTCAAACTTGTAAGCCATTTCCTTGAATTTAAAATACACAAGTGACAGAAGGAGAGCAAAGATGGCATCAATTTTTATTTCAACAGCTACAAATGGTATGATATCCCAGAGCAGTTTGTGTTTCTGTGTTGCAGGTTGTGACCTGTCTGTTTTATTTGTCAGAAGGAAGATTTGAAATCATTAAAGCCTGTGTCCTGGTTTCGGCTGGGACAGGGTTAGTTTTTGTTTTCAGCAGCCAGAAGAGCTCCGTGTTTTGGTTTTAGCCTGGGATTCACTATGAGAAGAATGTTGACAGCGCACTGATGTTTGTAGTTGGTGCTGAGACCTCAAGGACTTTTTGCCGTCCATGTTCTTGCCGATGTGCAGGAGCACAACAGGCTGGGGGGGAGCACGGCTGGGACAGAGGGGCCACAACTCCCCTCATGATCTGAACTTGGATTTAAGATTGAGAGCTGAATTTGCCAGTGAATTATTCGGTATCGTGCAACATCATGCCCAGTATACAGATGAAGGCTGACTGGAAAGAAAGGCTTTTTGCTCTTCCAGGAACCTTCCTGAGAGGGTTCTCTCAGACTCTTGAGTGCTGTCTCGCTCTCACTCTCTTTTTGGGCCTATCACTCACCCGGGATTGTGGTGCCAGGACTTAGCTGTTTTGGGATTGCTTGCTGGGACAGGACAGGTGTTGGTCACCAGGTGGTGAGCAATTACACTGTGCATCACTTATTTGTATATATTATTATCATGATGCACATATAATTTCTTATTATTAAATTGTTCTTATGTCAACCCAAGAGTCTCCTTCCCTTTTCCCCTTTAATTCCCGTCCCCATCCCCTGAGGGTGGGGGAGGATGAGCAAGTGGCTGTTTGGCATTTAGTTGGTGGCCGGGCTAAACCACGACATGTTTTCCAGGTAGTTCTGTGCGGTGGATCTGCTCGAATCCCCAAGCTACAGCAGCTGATCAAAGACATTTTCCCAACTGTGGAGTTACTGAATTCAATTCCTCCAGATGAAGTTATTCCCATTGGTGCAGCCATAGAGGCAGGAATTCTGCTAGGAAAAGAGAATCCTTTGTTAGAAGAAGAAGCACTCTTTATTGAGTGTTCTGCCAAAGATATTCTTCTTAAGGTAAGGCTAAAACTATTTAACTTAGAAAACTTTACTGCTGCAATGAACATTCAGCACTGCTTCTGCATGGTTGATGTTAGAGAAACATGGTTTATTATTAGTTTATTATTATTATTTATGGTTTATTAGTTCTGTAGATCAACAGTAAGTGATAACTTAGGTTTACTGACAAAAAAATTGACAGGAGAAACTGCTTGAGTTTAAGGGGTGATAGATTCTGTCCTTGCTATGTTTTAATATCTGGATTTTTTCATTTATTTATAGAACATTGGGGTTTGGGTGTGTTTTTTTTTTACTTCCTGTGATAGTAAATGTGGCAGAGAGAATGAGTCTTGGATTTCTTTTCTCATGGAGCACTGTTATAACACTTCGAGCTAACCAAAGTACTTAGAGAAAGGCATGAACTTTTTTTTTTCTTTTAAAGGGAGTAGACGAGTCAGGGGCTGACAAATTCACAGTGCTGTTTCCATCAGGGACACCATTACCAGCTCGAAGGCAGCACACCCTGCATGCCCCTGGAAACACTTCTTCTGTGTGCCTTGAACTGTATGAGTCGTTGGGGCAGAGTCCCATGAATGAAGAAGGTAAATTTGCACAGGTGAGTATATAGACCTTCACATGCATTTGTATTATCAACTGCTTGGAAATCAAGTGCATCTGGGGAAAAAACAAACAAACAATCCCACCCCTACCAAAACTTCTTGTTACAAAATTAGTGTGACATGCATCTCTTTGGAAATGGTCTTTAAGTGTTCTTCTGTAAGTGTGCTCTGAAGTATTGAAGCACTTTTTAAAGAAACTGAAGCTTCCCTCTTGAGTTTCTGAATGGCTGGCTGGGTTTGACACTTGGCACTGCTGTAGTAAGCTCACCTGGGATGAGAGATCATAATCAGTCATTCCAGTAGTACACAGATCTCCAACATTTTAGAAATAAAGCTGCTGGAGGTGATGATTTAGCTAGTGCATGTACTGTTGATTATTGCTTGATCTTCTAGATTGGACAGGAACTTGGCATTAAATACTACATGAGATTTTTCACAGTGGTAAGAGAAGATTAAATCCTCACCTGATACAAAGATACTGCTCAGGAGTCCACTTAATTGAGAGACCAGAGCTTGTTTGAAACAGTGATGATGTGCTTACCGTGGCTTCCATGCACTCACAGCGTCAGGGAGGGGGCGGATGTGGCTGAAAGGGATGGAATACATGAGAAAAATTGTTCCTACACCTTGATCCTGCCCAAAGATCCTTAAAGGGGTAGAGAAAGGGTGTTGCCTAATAATTGCAGAACTGATCCCAAGTAAAGGAACGTGTTCAGCTTGTACTGTAGTCTATGGGAGTTGTAGGTACTCCAGCTATCTTGGTGATAGGCTCCGAAACAAAACCACAGAAACAGTAGTGCAAACAGCTAAAAATACATTGGTTTGCATTCCAGATGAAGGAATTCCACTAGGGCGTGCTTTGATGTTGAATTACTGGTATGAGGTGCTAAAGGGAGTGAATTGCACACCACAGCTGTTGTGTCACTTCCATTAAACTGTTGTCCAAGGATTTAGAGAACTAGGTTATCATTTAACATCTTTTTTTTTTTTTTTTAAATAGATTGTACTTCAGGATTTAGATAAAAAGGAGGATGGCCTACATGATATACTCACTGTTCTTACTATGAAAAGGTACCCAAAATATTTATTGTTTTGCTGTTGAGCTTGCTATGTCACACTTGGGACAAGCAGCCTTTTCTCCTGTTACAGAATGTTTAATTTTGTGTTGAGAAATGTCAGCGTTTCATTGCTTACAGGCCTGTGTCCTAGCAGGGCTAAGTTCTGTAGGAATGTGGGTTTTGTGCAGCACCTTCTGTGCGTTCATTCTTTGATTCCTAAAGAAATAAAACTTAATACAGTTGTATAAATGATTTTTAGCAACTTTTGAACTGTTAATCAATTTAGCCATGCTTGAGAGCACCCAGGATCTCAAATTTCCTGTGGAAAGGGATCAGGGAGTTCTGTTGAATGCCCACACTTGGGAAAAAATAGAAGTAGAGTCTGTCTTTAGTTGCTAAGAAATCCATGAGTGACTTCTCATACGCAGCATTTGCGATGAAAACCTGTGGTGCTCTCCTTTCAGAGACAGGGTTGTTAAGCATGAGGAGCAATGCCACACAAAACCAGGCTTCAGAAATATACTTTTTTCAGAATTACCTGTTTATTACAGGAAAAATACGAAGTATCTTACGGCAGCATGGGGAATGAGGATGACATGACATTGAAGAAGTTTCTCCTAACTTTCTTAGGCCTTCATAGGAGTGCTTGGGCTCGTTGGAAATCGCCTAAATAGTTTATAAAGATATCAGAAGGTGGAATTCTAAGTAGTTGAAGCATGTTTGTCTTTTGAGGACTGTCCTGATGTTCATCTTGCTTTTCTAAATAATATGAAAGTTGTCTAAATGCTGCTGAAAAACTGAATCCTACTTGCTGTTTGAGCTCAGAAATACTTGATTTTCTTTTGTTAACTCTGAGGTGTATTTATGCTCCTTTGTCATACAGAGACTTGCACTTAGCAATCATGAGAAAAACATCTTGGGGATTAAATATACAACTGTGTATCCAGAAAACCTGCATTATTTTATTTATTATTTAATTTATTATTATTATTATTTTAAGAGGTTTTTAGTAATATTTAGATGGAAAATATTAAGGAAAGTTCCCTGGAACACGTCTGTTTCTATCTAAATATTACTTGTGACCGTTGTATGTGTAGATGAAGTAAGATTCAATATTATCTCTAATTTTTGGATTTTGAAAATTAAGGTTTTCCTCCTTGAAGGACACTCATGGTATTTAAAGACTACTACTACAAGTTCTCCTGCTTTGAGAACATGTCTGTTGGTTGCTGTTACCCAGGGATCTCAAGATGAATGTTTTGAATAATATTACTGCATATTCTGTTGACAAACCTGTACTAGATAAACTTGGTTACAATACTTAAATGTGTTCCTAATCTGTTTCACCATGTACAGAGAAGATACATGCTTTAACAGAGAGCAAGTGCATCTCTAAATACTCAATAAACTACATTTAATTTCATAAATCAATATCATCTATGTTGAAGCACATTCTTCCCTGGATATTTTGATGCTAATCTTCCTTTCGTCTGCACGAAGACTGTTGTTTGTCTTCTCTGGAACATGCAGTAACATCCTAAACCTTGTGTTGCGATAGTCATAAACATACCTTTCTCTTCTATCTAGGGATGGGTCCTTGAATGTTACTTGCACAGATCAAGATACTGGAAAGTGTGAGATCATCACTGTTGAAGTGGCGTCATAGTCTCTTTTGAAAGGCAACGTTTTTATAAGTTAATTTTTTTTTTTGTCTCTTGTTGGCTTTTCTGCCAAAGCGGTAACGCTCTCTGAGATGTCTTTATTGATCCTTGAAGGACTGTAATAAAGTGAAGTGAAACGTTAATTTGCCACCATTCCATTTGGAGTGGGAAGTGTGGTGCAAAATGTTAATCAAGGCACGCAGACAGCAAAGCAATGAATTATCAGCACCTGTTCTGGAAAGCACAGAGGGCCAATCCTCATGCCCGTGGTTCGGCAACAAGCATATTACATCATCTAAAGATTTTTCCTTGAATGTACCCATTCAACCAGTGTATCTGTGGCTCCAGCAGCGTAGCGTTGGACCAGTGAGAGCTCTACCAGTGAAAAGCCACTCTGGTAACTACCAAATTGTACTGAAATCCCGAGTGGCCTTGATGTTGCCTGAAACTGTGGAGGTGGTGCCCGTTTGCTCTTGGGTGGGATTTCTGTTTTTTCATTCTGGAGTTACTGTAAGATGGTTTTGTGGTGGTACCTGAAAAACATGTGTAAGGGTTATATGTGCTTATTTAAGTATTATTAATAAAAATGGTTTTTATGCAGATCCTGGTATCCTGTACTCTGTGTGGCACTGTTCTGATCCTTATGTCATCACATCCTTGTTTGGATGCAAGCTGGCGGCTTTTTTCCTTTTAAGTAGGGAACTAATGAGAAGGAGACAGAGCAGGCAAGTGTAGTTACAGGATTTGCGGGTTTGCAGCCTAATACGCGGTTCGGGGGCCACAGTTCAGCCCTGAGGGCCAGATGTTGTAAAACATTCCGAGTGACAGAGCAGAGCCTTAAAATCAGGGACAAACTAGAGCAAGGGATGCCCATCTGCACACCAGCTGGAGTGCATGGAGCTGCACCTGGGGATGGATGAGGTCCCAACTGAGAGCTTATGGGTCAGGATTAAAGGGAGAGCAGGGACAGGGGACACAGTAGTGGGGGTCTGCTACAGACCACCTGACCAGGAGGACCAGGTGGATGAGGCCCTCTACAGACAGATAGGAGCTGCCTCATGTTCACCAGCCCTGGTCCTCATGGGGAACTTCAACCACCCCGCTATCTGTTGGAAGGACAACACAGCAGGGCATAGACAAACCAGGAGGTTCCTTGGAACGCATGGATGATAACTTCCTTCTTCAAGTGGTAGAGGAACCAATGAGAAGAGGTGCTTTGCTGGACCTTGTTCTCACCAACAAAGAGTGATGTGGGGAACTCTGGGGGCTGGTGGGGAATGTGACGCTCAAGGGCAGCCTTGGCTGCAGTGATGAAATAGTGGAATTCAAGATACTTGGGGAAGCAAGGAGGGTGCACAGCAGGCTCACTACCCTGGATTTCAGGAAAGCAGACTTTGGCCTCTTCAGGGATCTCCTCGCTAGAGTACAATGGAATGAGGCCCTGGAGGGAAGAGGGGCACAAGAAAGCTGGTTAATATTCAAGGATCACCTCCTCCAACTCAGGAGCAGTGCATCCTAACAAAGAGAAAGTCAGGTAGGAACATCAGGAGGCCTGCATGGATGAACAAGGAGCTCCTGGACCAACTTGGGCACAAAAAGAAGGCCTACAGAGGGTGGAAGCAAGGACAGGTAGCCTGGGAAGAATACAGAGCGATTGTCCAAGCAGCCAGGGATCAGGTTAGGAAAGCTAAAGCCCTGATAGAGTTAAATCTGGCCAGGGACATCAAGGGCAACAAGAAAGGCTTCTATAGATATGTCAGTGATAAAAAGAGATCTAGGGAAAATGTAGACCCTCTCCGGAAGGAAACTGGGGACCTGGCTTCCCAGGATATGGAGAAGGCTGAGGTTCTCAATTACTTCTTTGCCTCAGTCTTCACTGGCAAGAGCTCCAGCGGCACAGCCCAGGTCACAGCAGGCAAAGGCAGGGACTGGGATAATGAAGAACCGCCCACTTGTCGTGGTTTTTTGGACTGAGGGT